TATCCGTGTGAGATATTATGCAACTTCTGGACACTAGGCATCACTCCTCTTTATTCATTGCTGCCAATCGTTTTGTTTTAATCCAAGCTTAATATATTGCATTCCCGGAGGCCAAATGTGCATAAAGACAAAAGCAATACTTTATTAAGAGAAGTTGAAAACAACAAAGCAGATTAATTATTTAAAACACTTAAAACATTTCACATTTTCACTCTCCACTTCTAGCTAATTAAGACTCTTAAACACATTAATTCCTAACTATGACTGACTGACTCTATTAATTGTGATTCCTACTTCATTCACACCTTTCTGCCTCCTACCTAACTACCCTGACAACTCTAAATGACTATATCAACTGTTGTCCACCAACCTTATTGAAATCCCCCCACTAGTTACTATTCACTGCCAATATTCAATTCTCTCACCCCTCCCTACAGCTCCTTACTTCATTACAAAATGCATGCACAGCCAAATTACCTTAATATATTTAATTAAATAACATTCTGCATCAAAAGTCCATAACATCACACAGACCAGTGCCAGGAGAGCATAACAATACCTTCACAGGGAACTAAAAATGCAGGCAGCTGTTACATATGTTTTCATCTCCATTAGGAGCAAGTACTGTGTAAACCTCTTAGGTCTAACCAATGCAAGACCAAGTTACCTTCCCAGTACAAAGGATTAGAACAACCTTTGTGGTTGATAAACTCCATTTTCTTGCTTCTTCAACTAACTTCCTTGTAGATACTAGCACAGAAAGTGTAACATTGTAATATATATGATTACTTATTGTAAAATGATCTCTTTTTTGAAAATAAGTGTATTTTCCTGTCTAAATTATGGTTTCCCTTGTTTTATTCAGATAAGTCATATACCTGACTCAGAACAGTCTCTAGGCAGGCAGTATAACATTTGTAAGATGATATTATATTTGAGATAGGCAAGATAGGACCATATGAAGAATATACAGGGAAATCATGCAAGGGGAGCAAGGGAAAGGAAAAACACAGTTAAATATATATTGAATTAGTGAATTGTTTCCCAAAATTGTCCATTTATGAAATCAATAAAACTATGAATCTATATCTCACTTTCTTCAAATACACACAATCTGCTCCTTTGATGTTACTAATGAATGTGCTCTTTTTAACTTACTCTGATGGCTGATAATTGTGCTCTAGCTTCTGGGCAAAAACTTATCAGCAATGTTGGTATGTAGAATGGCCATTGGCATCAAATATTCATAGAGTCACAGATGGGAATCTACAAAGAGCACAGAGACAGAGCATATTCCCAACTATTCTATGGTGATCATGTCAAAATGTCAAGAGGAACTGGTGATTTATTGCTACAGCTACATGAATTGGTGTAGTTTTTAGAAGAATCTGAAGGAATTGTCTTTGCCAGCTGGTGTTCCTGGTGTAAGTAGGTCAGGATATGCCAAAAATAAATATATAAATAGAAGCAGTTACTTCAGAATAATAAGAGGTGGTGACTTCATCTTGTTCTTTACAAGATTATCTCTCTCCATTCGAGGGTGGTGTAGATCTCCAAGCAACAGGAATGAAGCTCTATCCGCCACCATATTCCCCCTACCAAATATGCTAGCAAAAGGCATAAATTTTATAAGAAATTAGCTGGAACATCCAAATTTTAAATACAATCAAAAATTAAAACCTGGGAGTACTCATGCTTCTTATCTTAGGCATAGACTGAGGATGATGGTCCTCCAAGTGTAGTGTCTTGGTGGTGGGTCCATAGGTGGCTGTGGAGCCCTATTCTTGACCCGCGTGTTCTCCCACAGTACGGACATTGATTTCCAGATGGAAGGTGGTCCCAGTCAGGGTTGGTTTGATGCGCCTTCCTCTTGGCATGTTTCTCCCTTTCACCCTCCATTCATGCCTCTTTGAATTCTGCAGCACTTCTGGCCACAGCTGATCTCCAGTTAGAGTGCTCAAGGGCCAGGGCTTCCCAGTTCTGTGCCACAGTTTTTAAGGTCGGCTTTAAGCCAATCTTTAAATCTCTTTTCCTCTTCACCAACATTATGTTTCCTATTCTTGAGTTGGGACTATAGTAACTGCTTTGGGTGATCAGGGATTCGGACAACATGGCCAGTTGATGGCATATAGCAATAAGTGTTGCCCCAGCCCCTTTCCTGGGGCAGTTCACAACAGGCACGTATACACACATACACCGTTCTGAAAAATACTGACATAGCTCACTGTGCCATCTGCAAGTTGACAAACTGGGCAAGCCATAAGGATTGGGTTTGCTATGGAAAAACAATGGCAATATCTCTCAGATGGCACATTAGTTAGCATATTGCCTTGAATCTTATTTTGGAAGATAGACAAGCTAATTATTAAGTATTTATAATATGTGATGAAAGTGTGAGTAGGGTGTGTGTTGTATTAATGATTAATCATTGAGAGGAAACTCTAAACAAATCAAGGATAGTGTTGTCAAGAGTTCTTTAATTGGAGTCAGTTCTAGTTTTTTTTCCTTTTTTTAAAAATGAAAGAAGTCAATACTGGGATTTTATGGAGCATGCCCACTCATCTACTCTATAAATTCAACTAGAGAGCATTGGAGAAACTATTTCCATTCCATTCTCCCATGCTTCTCCATATGTCTGCTTTTCCCCAGACCAGTTTAAAAGGTGCTTTGTCACCTTTTATATTAAATATGAGAGAAATCTGTTACCATCCTAGTTGATGGATCACTGTCCCGTTACTGTTGGAGGGAGGATTGGGATTCCCTTGAGCCCACCACTCAGCTGATCAGCCAGGAACCAGGTAAATGGTTGTGCTCATACCCTGCGCACCCATGAGCTTTGTACTTCAAATACATCAAGTCCTATGAGGGTCATGATTTGGATTGGGCTTCTTTACTTGTTTGCTTTTTAATAATCATCCACGTAATTATTAATGGTTCCAAAGTAATTAAGCTTATTCAGATAACAGATTAAGAGGTTTAGAATGAACTCCTGTCCTCGTCATTCCCACTGAGGCTATCACATTATTACCAAGTTCAGATAAAGGTGAATTTTGAACAGTTGGTACACAAAACCTTGAGATATTTTCATAATCGTAACCCAGGGCCACTTTTTTACTTATGAGTTTTGCAAGAAGATCAATGTTATCATGCCTATATTATCCCTCCTGACCAATTGCCACTGGTTAAAAGAGGATAATTTTCTTTTCTTTGCAAGGGATTGTGGGAAACCTATGCAAGCATCCAATTCAGCCTGCATTTTCTGTCTGAAACCTAGCCATCAGGTCTGCCTGAGGATAGGAAAGACCCATTTGGCTTTCTGACTACCTTGAGGTCACTAGATTGCATCCTGTGATTGAAGCAGCATACCTGGGGAATCTGTGCATTGCACGAAGGCTTCTGTGGGAGCCAGAGGCAGCATCAGCCTCAGGCATGCAGTCTTGAACTTGGCAGATTTCCCCTTTAAGCCTTGTGTCAGCTTGTCAGCCCCATCGTCTGAAGCCAGCAAAGCAAAGAATTTATTAGCACAGAATTTGTTCTGACCACTGACCCTTTATTTCAGCAGCAATGCAAAGTTCTTTTCTACCTACCTATGCAGTGTAAATGTCTTCAAAAAATGAGACCTAACTAGATACAGACAAAATGCGTTTTGACTGATGTTTGGGCCACATACATGAACACCCAATGAGACCTATGTAATGCACACAATGTTGAGGCTAGGGCTACAACAGTATGGACATATGGAAAGTAGGTAATTTTTATATAGAATTTCCATTACAGTTCAATCTTATGCATGATTTTGTTCAGTGATGTCAGCTACCAAAAGAATTGCAGGTTTGGAACCCAGAGTGTCAAGCTCCCAAAATATTGAATGAGAAAAACCATCTCATCATACCTTTGATGGTGACCCTCAGTGGCGAATTGGCAGCTCTTCAAACAGGGGGGAGCGTGGTGCGCACGGTTTCACCCATTGAAAGAATGGCAACACAGGAAGCCTCCTTCACCCACTGAGCCAGCACAACATTGTGATCGGAGTTGGCTGGCTCCATGAGTGACTGGGGCTCGATTGGCATTTGCCGCCTAATCTAGCCCCATATGATGAAGTCAAAGACAGGTTGAAGGCAAAATCAGATGTGTTTATTCTCCTTGGCCAAAGAGGATGTCAGCAGAGCCTGTGCTCCAAAGACTGACATATTTCAATGCAAACATACAGAAACATTGATAGGATCTTGACAACAATTTGAAACAAAAGACTTCTGCTTCCCTGAGTGTTGATTGGTCCAGATTATGGCAGGCTAGGATCTGCAGGCTGGTTGGCTGGGATGTACTATCTGTTATTGTTGTTGATTGGTCTAATTTAGAGAGAAATATAATAAACTGTCACTGGTTTATTTGAAGGTTTGTGTCTGTTTATTGATCTGCCCAGGAGAACGGTGTGTGCAGAATGGAATCAAGCTTGGCAGAAGATAATGGGTTTAAATGGGTTTGATTTTTCTATTTCAGTCAATACAATTTGTGCCAGCTAGGTAGACAAAAGGGTGTTCGGGGTGTTGACAGATTCAATGGACACTCCAGAGAGGGGATCTGATTTAGCAAATAGGGGTCAAGAAACATCCCCAGGATCAAAATCAGATAATGTTGGGGCAAACCTTGTGGCTCTTCCTAAAGCCCATTGTGTGTTCTATGTGTCTTCATAGGTCATTGTGAACTACTTTGTGGCTATTGCCCGAGGTCTGGGATGTGTAGTGTTTGTGCAACATTTTAGAGGAGTTCAATGTAAGAGGGCTAGAAACTGGGGGGAAAGTCAATGCAGGTTCCCCATTAGTCCCTATGGAGCTGCAGACTCTGGGGTTAATCTTTTTGGAGTCCAGTTTTTATAACATTTTAATGGGGATTTGCTTTCTAATTAAGGATGCACAGAACTGTGGCCTGGTTCTAGGCCCCCTGCTATATATCTACTTGGAGATAAATCTCATAACAACAACAACAACAACAACAACAACTTTATTTGTACTTCGCCCTATCCCCCCAAAGGGACTCAGGGCAGATTGCAATATTTATTTATTTATTTATTTATTTACATCATTTCTACCCCACCCTTCTCACCCGGGGGGGGGGGGGGACTCAGGGCGGCTTACATGGGCAACAATTCAATGCCATAATATCAGTACAACAACATAAAATCAAATACACAGAAAATTCAACAATGACATTAATTAAAATCACATACTCATATACGAACATAGTCGCCTTATCAAAATCACATATCTGTTTCCAATTGTCATAATCCTGTGGTCCGGATCAGAGTCTAAAGTGCTGCTATGTCCACTAGCTGAAAGCCTGGCTCCAAAACCATGAGTTTTTTCCTAAAAGTGAGGAGGGAGGACGCCGATCTAATCTCACTGGGGAGCGAATTCCACAAGCGGGGGGCCACCACTGAGAAGGCCCTGTCCCTCGTCCCCACCAGACGCCTCCCCAGTAGATCTTAAATAATATATAATTAAATTATATAAATTAAATATAACAATGGCAAACATTCAATGCCTACATAAAACACACGATACTAACATAAAATCCCAGAAAACCCCCACATATAAAAGTAACATTAAAGCCTAACATCAAATTAAGACCTAACATCAGTAAATTAAACCTGACATCAATAAGTTAAACTACACATAATCAGACCAAATTCTGTAATATCAGAAATCTAAACAAAACATCCACATTAGTGTACAACAGCCAGCAAGGGTTCACAAAACAGTGTGGGTTTATTATGTAGCCAAATGAGGTCATTGGGCTGGTGTGGACCATTAATTTCAGCAGGATTTGCTTTCTAGCAGGTATGCTTAAAATGTCAACAAAATACACCAATGCTAATCAGAGATAGAACAAAAATCAATGGGCTCGAGAACACCAAATTCTTCATGAATGCAAGCTATTAGTCATATTTTTATGAAGCATGCCAAGGTATAAGAATTGTGAAATAGGCACTTGTCAGTTAGGCAGGGATCCAGTTCAACTCTGCTCTCATGCACTTTGCTGACTTGTGATCTTTTCTCTGCCTGCTTTTCCCACCTGGAAAGAACTTGAATAATCAGAATTACTGAGGGAGCTTTTGATGGGACTCTGATAAAAACAGTTCTCAGTTGCTTTCCCTTTGATATTATGCTTTGCTCCCTTTCATTTTTATTCATGTATTTTGCTTAAAACCACTAGAACTACAAGAGTGTTGACACTTCAGAGGGTGGTTGTCAGTTGTCTGTACTGATCGAACAATCCACTCTGCTACTCTCTTGTTCAAAGGGGCCCCTGGGGTCCAAGGAGCGTTTTCTTTTCTTCATCAACTGCCACATCTACAGCAGGTGACACACTGCTGCCGGAGCTGGAAAAGTCTCTGGAGAAGATGAAATTCAGAAGCAGCCTCTCAGGATCAGCAGAAAGGAAATTGGGAGAGAATGTTGACTGGTTCTGCCCTTGTGATGAGATGAGGAATATCTTGTCTCCTAGACTGGAAAGTGGGGGGAAAGGTGATGGGGAAAAAAGAGACTATAAAAACTACTTGGCTTCAATTGTCTTCCATCAAAACTGTCTCCTCCAGCTCAACACACCCCAAGGCAGAAAGATTAAAGCACATTTTTGAACAGGATTCAAAAACCCTAAATATGAGGCTATCTTTCTTTGCCTAACCTTGTCCATCTTTTTATCTGACAGGTTCAGAATGACTTAATGATTTATTAATTACAGAGAAAGACATCTGTAAATTCGCCTTATGTATAAAATGAAACAAGAGATAGCACCCCCAAGTTGGAAGGTGCTCAACAAGCTATTGGGACTCAGCAGAAGACCACCATTGTGGCTAATGATGCAACTGGGCTCAAGCTGAAAGGACATTTAGCTGTTTATGTGCTCAGAGGTGAAAAGAAAGTCTGAAGCTGCAACACATATAAGAACATGGAATGTGATAAGCATGAATCAGGGGAAGCTAGATATAGTAAAACAATTAATCAATCATAAAAATTGCAATACCTAGAGACAGAGAGGTAAAAGGGATTGTGAGATTTTGAGTTACATAATTATATTGCATTTTATGCAGGAAATGAAATTTTAAGAAGAAATGGGGTGGCATTAACAGTGAAGAGAGATGTAGCAAAATCAGTCAAATGATATAATGCAAAGTCTGATGAATAATATCAATAGGACTTCAGGAAAAATCTATCAATACAGACTTAATTCAAGTTCATGATTCAACTGCAGAGGCAGAAAAAAAAGAAACTGAAAGATTCTGTGCTGATGTTCATACACCTAAATGAGGCATCTTAAATTATTTGTTATTATTATCTACAAAGAACATTCTACAATTTTTATTTAGAATCATAGAATCATAGAATCAAAGAGTTGGAAGAGACCTCATGGGCCATCCAGTCCAACCCCCTGCCAAGAAGCAGGAATATTGCATTCAAATCACCCCTGACAGATGGCCATCCAGCCTCTGCTTAAAAGCTTCCAAAGAAGGAGCCTCCACCACACTCTGGGGCAGAGAGTTCCACTGCTGAACGGCTCTCACAGTCAGGAAGTTCTTCCTAATTTAAATTGTTAGTAGATTAGTATTTATATCATTTTATCATTATCATGCTTTCTCTCTTTCTGTATTACATCAAATATATATAATTCTATATAATCAATCCATTTTATAGCTCATCTTATTAGTCAATGTTGTTTCATAAAATTCCTTAAATTTTGGGTGTATGCTTAGTTCAACATACAACTATATATGTACAGTATTAATAGTAATAGTATTTTCCATCCACAACTATCACCATTTTCCTGGTGATTGATGTGTGTGTGTGTGATTAAAAGCCAAGCTTTCTATTCCTCTAATATTAAGCCCAATTTAATTTATTATAATTTATTCTGATTTAACCATAATCACCCAGTTTAGTCAATGTCATTTCACAAAATTTCTTAAATTTTGGGTGGGCGCTTAATATAGAATACAGGTGTGTATATACTAGGACTGCTTTAAAATATCGTTAGTCCTCATAAGTCGGAACAAATTTGTTAAATGCATACTTATGACGTGATATTCGACATGTGGGCATGGCCCATGCAAAAAACTTAAGAACTGAAACACGCAGTACTTTTTCATTTGAATTTTGTCAGTTTCATTTACTGCTCACATAATCCACCAACACTTTAAAATGCAAAATGTATAAGTTTTCCTTGCTGACCAGGCTGTTGTGGAAGTGGAATACAGTCAAAAGACTGTAAAGTACTTTGCACTTGGAAAATGTCTGATGAATGAGAATAATCATTAATCAGAATGAGCCCTAGCAGTATGCAGAGTGAAGTGTTGGGAGTTGGTTGAAAAGAGAAATACCATATTCTTTTAAATCTAATGTGCACTTTTCCTGATGTTTAAGGAGTGTCAAAAATGGGGTGCACCTTAGATTCAATGGCACCTGAGATTTGCCAGGGCTGGGTTTTTTTTTTTAAAAGTTGTCTTAGCCCTGAGAGAGGAGGAGCAAGGGCTCTAGCCTCAAATAGCTCTGCCAGCCTCTATCATTTTAGTGGCAGCCTCAGCCAGATGGTTATTTCTATCTGGCTGAGCTACATGCTGCATCCTGCTTCCATTGCCTACCCAACAGGCCCATAGACTTATGAAGACAAGCTAACTTATTATTTTCTTCATTCTCCCTCCTCCCCCCATAGGAAAGATTTCACTACAAACTGCATTGAAACAAAAACAAGGTATTGTGCATGTAGAGGAAAATATAAAATATATTTGAAAATTTTTCCTTTCCAAAAATTGCAGCTTCCAAAACAGGGTGAACCTTACATTTGATGGTACTTTAGATTTGGTGAAATGTGGTATCTATAGTGAGCTTTTGGTATCTGCTGGACTTTGGATATCAAAATGGATACTCAAGTTCCAGTATACACACTGATGTAAAATGGCAACATCTATATTTTTATGCCATAGATGGTTGAATTTGTTGATTCTGAATCTGTGGATAAGGAGGGTTGGCTGTACCAGCTTGCTACCTTCAGAGGCCCTTCCTCACTACACAGTTATAATGTTATGATTCCATCTTTACTGCCATGGTTACATGCTGTGGGCTTGCTGGGGCTTGTAGTTTGGTTGGAAGAGGGAGCTATCCCTTGCTGAGGATTCATTCTGAAGGCTCTTCCATAAAAATTTCCAATCCAGGATTCCATATGAAGTTGCTCAGGCAATTGAAATGGCATCGTAGCACCATAATTTCATAGAATGGAAGGCCCCCGGATGCAGCAGAAGACATAGGCCCTATCACTGGTATTGACAAAAGAGCCAGACTCCATTTCAGTATACAGAACTTTTATACACTGGATGAGAGTTGTAGTGTTACAATGATTTTAGTTTTCTCTCACCAAACTATAAATCCCAGAATACCATAGCATTGAACCATGACAGTTAAAGTAGTACCACATGGCATAAATTCTACTGTGTAGAACCAGCCTTAATAGAGGATTCATAAAGATAGTTTGGTCTTGTGCCCCTTTCTCACTGTGTTTGAAGCTCTTTTCATAATCAGAGCTGATCGCTTTGGCTTCTTGAGTAAAAACAAAATGTGATGATTTTAATCAGATTGACCTTCAAGGCAACAAGCACTAACACACAAAGCTCAAAGAGCCTCTGAGTGAGTTATGATTTTAAGCCATTATCCAGAGGTCTGTGATTCAGATCGGTGAACTTTCCAGCACAGTTAAATAGGTTCATAGACACCGCCATCTTGCCATTTTTACCCCTTAATTTCAGACTGAAGTTTGATGTTGAATTAAAATTTTTGCCCTGGGCTGTCTGGAGGGCCTTTAGACTACAGCAGTGGCAGCATCTGCCATGGGAGACCCACAGGTCCTATTTTGGACTATGGCAACCTTCAGTTGGCAGATGAATACAATGGGAATGGGGAGTGGATGTATCTGTGATGAGCAACTAGTTCAGGAGGGGTTGAATAGGCAGCTTCGTCTCTGGAAAATGTTCCAGATGAAAAACTGTATTTCAAAATATATTTTGGGATGGATACTGGGTGTGCTGCTGTTTTCAGCAGTATGAAAACTAAGGCAGTATAATTAAACATTAAGGACAAAGTTTGGAATATTATTCTGACAAACTAGTGTGTTTGTTGTTATTTTAAAAATATGTAACAGATGTAGCACAAGTCATTATTTTATGAATGGTACATTAGAAACTCATTACTAATATATTATTTATTTAATGAACCATCTATCCATTGGACTTTAACACAGAGACTGGATAGTATCATCTCAGGAATGAGCTTAGCTATCAGTTCCTGAATTGGCTGAGGATTGTACCAAACAGCCTTTGTGGTTGTTTCCAACTGTGAATTATTCTATTTTCAAGCCTTGAATAATGAAAACATGTTCCCAAATAGTCAAACCATTGGAAAAGATAATTTAAAAACCTACATTTCATGTCTAACAACAACAACAACAAAACTTTATTTACATCCCACCCCATCTCCTCATGGGGAGATGGGGTGGGGAGTTGCTCACAGACATAAAAAGGCAAATATTCAATGCCTTGTACAGTAATAAATGATCCAATTTAAATAAAATACAATTTAAATAGTATAAAACAAATAGTTATAAAAGCAATAACAACCATCCTAAAAAATACATTTAAAAGCCATTTCCATAAACCAGAAAAGTTTATGGAAAGGAGTTATTTCAGCTTCTGGAAAAAAAGGAGTTATTTCCAGCTTCTGGAAAGATAAGTTGAAATGTCATCTCTCTCTCTCTCTCTCTCTCTCTCTCTCTCCTCCCACTCCCACCTCGGCCCCAAACACCAAATATATGAAAACTGTATACAGTTGCAAAATAGATTTTTACTTGACTCCAAAATTGTTTCCCCCTTTCTTGGTATTGGCTCTTGATGTTGATTGGATATTACTCATTTGGCACATCAAAACAGCCTTTGTGCCAGTTTTTAGCAATGTTGATGGGATTTATGGATAGTCTCAGAGGAATTCTTGACAGAATGCACAGCAGATAATTGCCATGAATTAGGGGGGGGGCAAACAAAAGAGTAGGTTTAGCAGATTGATCCATTCTTGTCTGTTTAGGACCATTAGCTTTAGGTTTTGGACAACAATTCTCTCTAAACCGATGCATTTACCCATGTCGTAGGTGTTACAACTATGATTATGCCAAAAAAAACCCTTCTAAAGGTGCATTTACTGATAACCCTTCTGAAATAATCTTCTAGTCCAATGTTGATTTTAGAAACTGCATTACTCACAGCCTTGCATCACCAGCACTGGCTTCTGCTGCAACTATTTTTGAGATCAATTCAAATTGTCATTGTAGATATACAAAGTCCTAAATGTCTCTTTTTTTTGGCATGATATTGGAAAGACTTGTGCCTTCCATATAATACCCATCAACATTTTCATAAATGAAGGACATTATCATGTAAATCCACTATCTTACAACATTCATTTGACTAATGATCCTTGGAATTTCCTGGGATGATCACCTGTGTTAATGCATCTGTCTGTGATGCTGCAACAATGTCACTTTGTCAGTCTGTGATCCCGTTGCTAGATTTCCTGTTGAGGAGGAAATGCTGCCCTTTCACAGATTGTATCTCCAGTAAGATTGGGGTTTTTTTCAAAAAAAAAAAAAAAAGGAACTCAGCAGTTTTATTAAGTTATATTTTTAAAAGTTCGATCTTTGTTTACTAGGAGAGGGAGAGGAGGAGAACCAGATAATCCTTCCCCTTGGTGTCACTTCTGTTCCAACATACTGGCACAGAAGTGCCCAGACCTCACTGCACAGTAAGTCTGAAGGCCCTGATGGGATCAGGGGCTGTTGATGGATTTTGCCCATGAATTGCTAGGACAACTATCATGGGGAGGTCACGTCACACAATGCCAAGCAATAGGGAGCACCATCAAACATGATGGTCCTGCTTCTATGCTGGTTTGCCATCTCCATAGGATAAAGTTCAAAAACTGTATGATCAAACAACAACAGAGCATGGCTAAGATAGGAAGAATACACAAGTTATGAGTGGCTTTTGCTTTTGCCTGTTCCTATTGGGAAGGGCAAGATTCCACCCCTTTGCCACTGAGTTAATCAAGTGCAAACTACTTTTGCACTTTGAAGTCAGTTTGCAGGAATTGAAGTATGCTGAGGACAAAGAGGAAAAGTGGAAGCAGGAGAAATAAACTATCCTTGCCAAATTAGGACAGTTGTTATGATGTAGAGTATGAGTTGCCCCCAAATTTGAAATCTTTGTTGAAAGTCCTGCTGCACCCTGAAGAAGCTAGTTTGGTAAGAACACAGGACAGGACTTTCTTAGCAGTAGCACCATGTTTGCAGAATACCTTTTCAACAGTGGTCAAGCTGCCTCCATGCCTGCAGGGCTTCCAGTGAGTAGTCAAAACTATATTGTTTCACACAACATTTAGTTCTTCCTTATTTTAACTCTGTGTGCTTTGAAAAGGTGTTCTGATTTGACTTTAAGGAATGTTTTAATCTAATGTGTACTACCCCAGGAACTCTGGTGGGCAAATAAAAAATAGCATTAATAATAGATAAATAGATTAACTGTATGAGAAAAATATAATGTTTATTATAACTTAGGTTATCCTGCTGGCATACTTTAGCTCCATATCTACATTAGTGTCTAATACAAATCAAGTCAGAGTTGGCTAATTTTGCCCATTTGCCTTAAAACACTTTTCAAATGATGTTTTATTTATCTTCAGCTGCCATAAGGGATTCAGTCATTTTGCTCAAGATGATACTTCAGTTGCAGATAAGCTACATTTTCCCAACATTCAGGCTGTGACATTTTGTTTCTGAGAAAAATCTGTAGTCTTGCCTCACAACATGCTTGTTCCCTGAGATTTGGAGAGCTATGTGGGAGTTGCATTGGGTATGGGATGGTAGTTAATATCTCTTGTAAGAAGCAATATGAATCTTCCTTGAGCTGAATCTCTTCTGTAAATATTTTTTGCAAGTCTGATTGTGATAGGATGGTCAGGTGGTGTAAAGGGAAAGTGGCATGTATGACCAATCTGATACACTTGGAATCCATCACTTGCCACCTTATCATCTTGGGGGCATTTTGGTCCCTTGCGCTTTGGGGACGGGGCCTGCCGAGTGCAATCACATGACACTCGGCAAGCCATGCCCCATTTATCTTGAAGTGCTGAGGAAGCATTGCAAGATGTTTCATCAGCCATGACACTTTGGTATGTGATTTTTTGGTAGCCCCAACAGAGCTACCTGCATTTTTCAGCCATTTTCCCAATCTGATGGGGACAAGAACAACGGTCAAAATCATCTTGTTCCATTCCCCCATATGATTTGGGGGAGGGGGGGACATGTGAAGAGGCCCTTGGCCACCGTCAGTTTCCAAATCTCCTGATAGAAAATACTCCAGAAAAATATGAAATATGTTGCATTTATGTAACTGAATGCAGTACATAATGCAGCAGCATCATGAGGATGACCCATCCTCATTCCTGCATTGATTAGCCCAGAGAAAAGGTAGTGGTGATGGGTCCTTTGTAAAGCCTGCTCATAGTCTGGAGTTTCCTGCAAACTGTGTAGTATGCCTTAACTTTACTTAATGAGCAGCCAACTCAGGTTAGGGCCCAAGGTCTTCCTGTCCTACTCCGGCACTATGACACACTGGCTCTCTTTGGCCACAAAACCAAAATCCATGTACTTTATTGAATACCTTCTTGGTTCAAGTTGGTTCTTACAAATATTCATTACACTGTCCCCTGTTCAGATATAAGAACCTCTCTTGTTGCTTGAGATATTGCATTTTACGGTGAGCAGGGAAAAGAGGATGAATTTTCCAGCTCTTCTTTTCTATAACTAGAGCTGAAGGGAATTAATCTTCCTAAGAGGCAGCAAAAAAACACTGTGATATGGCACCAGCCTGGATATGGCAATATTGTATAATATAACAAATTATGGGCATGTATTTCTTCTCCTGAACACTTACGCACATAAATCTCAGATTTGAAGAGCTGTTTCTATATATATATATTGTGTTGTCGAAGGCTTTCATGGCCGGAACCACTGGGTTGCTGTGAGCTTTCCGGGCTGTATGGCCATGTTTCGGAAGCATTCTCTCCTGATATTTCACCCACATCTATGGCAGGCATCCTCAGATATGGTATCTGAGGGTGTCTGCCATAGATGTGGGTGAAATGTCAGGAAATAATGCTTCTGAAACATGGTCATACAGCTCAGAAAATTCATAGCAACCTTTTTTTTTGCTTGTTTCATTTAGATCCCACTTTTCTTCATTAAACATTCAAAATATTATAATTCATTACAAGACTGTCTACAAGCCTGAAAAACACTATTGCATAGCATTAAAAACTCAGAGGTGTTTCAAAGGAACTTGAAAATCTGGAGCTGGGTCTCTAGAACTACAGAAGAATTGCAGTTTTGTTCTACAGAATCAGTGAATAGCAAATGACTTCAGAATGTTCAGTTTTAAATGCTCTTTTATTACAATAAAAGATTGGTGATTTTTCATTCGCATATGCAAAGTCATAGCTGTGGCTTCCTTGTTTGACTCTATCAACCTTTTTCTTTTCCAACTGCCTTCTATCCTGCCAAATGTTATTGTATTTTCTTAGTGAGTCATGTCTTCTCGTGATATGTCCAAAGTACCACAATTGCAATTTGTGTAGTTGTCTCGGCTTCTAGGGGAGTTCAGGCTTGATTTACTTTAGGTCACATGCATGTCTTTTAGGTTGTTCGGGATATTCGCAGAACTCTTCTCCCAAGTCCACATTTCAAATGAGGCGATTCCTTTCCTATTAGGAGACCTACTTTTGCACTGCTTTAGAGCCTTCGTCTCTCCTTTCTTTCAAACTTGTTCTTGCTAATTAGCAAAGATTAACTTCTTGCTAGACATTCACTGTCCTGCCAGCCCTAAATAAAGGTGACTCTGAGGTGCCAGTACCTTGGATAAGGCTGATTTATGGCTGGTGTAGTATTCAAATCAAGGGTCTATCATTCTGGCTGCCTCACATGGTCTCATCAGTTAATAGTACTTAGATCAGTATCAATTTTCTATCACATTTTTGTTATATGTCATGATATTTGTGTATTTGCTACTTAAATCATTTTGCTAATAATAATAATAATAATAACTCTAATAATAAATGTCTTACTTGCATTTACCAATGGAATAAGCAATTTCGTGAGCTACCATGAGTGCATCTGTGGGAAGGGTTGATTCAGCTGAAACTAAAATACTATAAACAGAAACAAAAACTGTCCACTCCATTGTGTGCTATATTTACACCCACCCTTCATTTCAATCCCACCAGTTACTGTGTACTTTGCAAAATGGAATGCTTGGAAAAGTTACCTTTTGGACTGCAATTCCCAAAATCCCGCAGCTGGCATGGCCACTCTGCATGTCTTCTTTGGAGAGCCTTTAAAGAAGGTCTTTCAGTAGCACCAACCACACAGCCCTGCCAATCATATTCCACTTCTGAGACCATGAGTTGCAATAGCACATGTGTGGGGGGTTTGGGAGGAGACAGTGAAACACAGTTTTGCTTTTGTCACTGAATTCCATCTGAGTTTTGGAAAACTCCCACCTCCTTGAAACATGGTCACTGCTCTGATGCTAATAGAAAAAGACCATTAAAAAGCTTTATGATATTCCGTTCTTCTCGTCCTGGTCCCTTTTCCCCTTTGTTGCTGCTGGCATTATATGCATAATTGATGTGTCTAGGTGCTTCTGCTCTGCCGTTTCCTCCGCTGTGCTGCTCCTTATGCCTGCTTCACATCCTCCCTTTGAGCAAAGGATCATGCCGCATAGAACCCAGATCAGTTTAATTAGCGTTTGTCTGAGCTGCTTTGTCAGGATTGCTTCTCTTCACTGATGTGGGTGGTTCTTGTGGCCGGCCACACTTTTGCAACAAAAAGTTCCTTGGTCTGGTTTGCAAAGGACAAGAGGAAAACTTAAAGACTTTTCTTACTGTCCCCAGGGCCCCCACAGACTCTCCAAATTCAGTTTCCCCAACTGCCTCTGATTCTTTAAGTCATAAATCCAACCCCAGATATGCTAGGAGAGGCAAGCTGGATGGAGCTAGAGAAATGGTGTAAAGCAGCAGAGCATTGCGAAGGTTTAGGGGGTGATGGGTGACCCCCCCCCTTCCTTAGAAAACATTAAGCTGCACTACTGTTTTAGATGTAATTTGGGGATTGACTCAAATAAGCAGTATAGAAATATTCCTAATGAATAAACTTTAAAATTAAAAGGGCAAATATGTATTTTAACATGTCTGTTTTGGCAAAGATGAGTTACAACAGAGCTTTAGTATTTATTTCATATAGTAAATTTTTTTTGAAATTAGTCATATTAATCATGTTTGAAGAACAATATCATTCTAAAATAAGTACGTACAGTAGACTCTCAATTAACCAGAACTCAAGCAACCAGCAAAAATGTAACAAAAACCAGCTGTTTTTAAAACTGTGTTACAGTAAGTTAAGTTTGTCCTTCTTTGTCTTTATTTGTTTTTAGTTACTGTTTTTCAATGTTAATATCAAGTCGGTATGGTATGGTATAGTATAGTATGGGTATAATATTAGTTAGGCCTATTTTTAATAGTAACTGTCAATCAACCTGAAACTACACTTACAATTACCCAGCATCGACCAATCCCTATGGGGGCTGATTAACTAAAAGTATACTGTACTTGTCACTCTTGCACCAAGGAGAGTAAGACAAAATAAATCAGAGTAAAAGTGTCTCTCATTTAATCCTTGTAACAAACCTTCAAGAAGGGTTACCCTGACCACCATGCAAGCTTTATGACTGATCAGCCTGTTTCTTTGATTCAAGGTCCATTATGTGGCAGTGGTTCAGAACAACAATATGTCAGAATGATGATAGATTTCATAAGAGAGGGAGGAGAATGAAAATAATATTACGTTATCAGATCCTGGCAATAAGAATCAATAAAACCCAAAATATATTATTTTTCTGTCCCTCTTTAGATTCCCAAACTGAAGTCTTATACTCTTTGCTCCAAGGGATAAAAACATAGGCAGCCCTCCACATTGGCTGTGTTTAGGGGCATAGGACATCTGTGAAAATGAAAACCACAGGGACCTTTTTCTGCCAGCAGAATAAGGAACATGCTGCTGGGGAAGTGTAGATGGGATTCAGGGGAGGAGTGCAGGGGCTGTGAGTTTTAAATGCTATTTAAGTGTATTTATTATCTTTTACTCTGTTTTTTCCTTAACCTACACTATATTATTTAATTGGTTTTTTTAAAAAAAAAATGGTTTTGTGCTTTTAAAACTAATTGTGGGATTATTAGCAGTACTAGGCCCAGGACAGATTTCTGCGGTACTCCATTAGTAACTTTTTTCCAGAATGAAGAGCACCATATCTTGATTTCTCCCATGACCTTCTTGTAAACAAACTAGTAAAATGTGGGCTAGGCAATGCTATTGTTAGGTGGATCTGTAATTGGTTAAAAAGCCAAATCCAAAGAGTGCTGACTAATGGTAATAATAATAATAATAATAATAATAATAATAATAATAATAATAATAATTTTATTTTTATACTCTGCCTCCATCTCCTTGAAGGGACTTGGGGTGGCTTACATGAGACCAAGCCCAATCAACAGAGTTAAAACATAACACATTAAAATGCATAACATCAATATAAAACAACATAAAAACAATGCAGGTAGCTCTGTTGGAGCTACCCAAAAAACACATGCCAAGGCGTCATGGCTGATGAAACATCTTGCAACGCTTCTTCAGCATAGGTCATATAGCAGCAGTAAGGATAAGAGCAATATAAAAAGGATCATTATGACTTTGGATACAACAGTAATAAAGTGCAAGAACAAGATTTTGGGTTCTTGCTGGAGCCACCTGTCGAGGTAATTGCCTAGTCAAATGGATAGCGGAACATCCATGTCTTTAGATCTTTGCAAAAAGTGGATAGGAGGGGTGCTAGCCTAATCTCCCTGGAGAGAGAGTTACAGAGCCAGGGAGCCACGAGCGAGAAGGTCCTTTCTCTCATTCCCACCAATCATGCCTGAGACGGAGGTAGAAGTAAGAGAAGAGCCTCCACAGAAGATCTTAAAGATCATGTAAGTTCATAAGGGAAGATGCATTCACAAAATCAGGCGGGTCCCAAACTATTTAGAGCTTTATAAGCGATAACCTGCACTTTGAATTGGGACCAGAAACTTGTTGGCAGCTAGTGGAGCTGTTTGAACAGGGGATTTGACCACTCCCTGTAATTTGCTCCAGTTAACAACCTGGCTGCCTACCTTTGCACCAACTGCAGTTTCCGGGCCGTCTTCAGGGGCAGCCCCACTTAGCGTGCATTACAGTAATCCAACCTTTAGGAAACTAAGGGGTGGACCACCAATGGTTCTCTTCATCCTGGAAAGAAGTGACTAGTGGAGTGCTCCCATTACATACCTTTGCAATTCAGTAAAAGGGTTTTAAGTGCTTCTACTATGTAGCAACATACATGTAAAGTTATATAATGTAACAGGTCATGTAGCATTCCAGTACCACTTTACAACAGTTAAAAAAAGAATTAAATAACAGTATTAATCCAATTCCAATAAGCATCAGTCAACTTATAAACTTATTTATTTACTTTGTTTTATATCCCTCCCTCTCTCCCTCATTGAGGGATTCAGAGCTGCTAAGAAGTCGTGGCCAACAGAATACCAGTTTAAGATTTGAACTTAATATGGTATTAAATTCTACAGAGTCTGTATTCCTGGATTCAACCATTCACAGCTTCATTTTGCATTGATTTTGCCATTTTATATCAGGGGTATGATTTTTCAGACCATTGTAAAGCTGTTAGTTATCATCTCATCCAGGGAGAAAGGATAGGTATAATAAATTCAATGAAATAAACAAATCAGGTTTAGGATGCATCATTTGTTTTACAGCTTGAACAATGAAAATATTATTGCCCATTCCTATATCCTCCCTGTCCAGAGACAAAGTTCAAAACCAGAACAGGTGAGAGAAAAATAGAGATCTTCAGTGATTATTGTTGCCTTCTCTATTAAACATTTGTTTATTGGCCAGAACCTCCCCCCCCCCCCAAAACCATCTCAACACAGCCATACAAATATCAAAACAGATAATCCACAATATTGACTCTGAACTGGATTATTTGAGTCCACAATGCTGTATAATCAAGTTCAATATGGATTTTATACAGCCGTGTGGAAGGGGCCAAAGAGGAACTAGGGCAGTATTGCATGGAAGAGAGGGAAAGTTTAACTGGGACTGTATTTGCTCAGATCCCTTCTACTACAGCTTGCAACTAACCTGTGCTGCTGTGCTTGCTCTAAGCCTGGATGTAATACAAATAAAAAATACTCATTGTTCACAAGATGCCCCTCAGCCAAGCCATTGATCTTTGCTTTGTTCCTTGGGGGCATTTCAGTTGAGGTGCATCTTGGGATGAAATTCTTCAAAACAGCAAGTAGAAGTGAATTTATATGTCAGTCTTGTAACAGGTATGAAAGAAGAAAGTCAGTAAAGCCTGTGGACACACTAGACCTGAATATTGTTCAAAAGGACTAATATTAATGCAATTGTTTTCAAAACCATCTGTGGCGAAACTGAATAGAAAAAAATCATTACAGCACTACAATAGTAACTCAGGAATAGATGGAGTTTTTCATTTCTCCTTCCATGCAAGCTTACCTCAAGCATCCCCTGACTTTATGTGTCTTTTAATAATCAGTATAGTCTTTTAGTTTTAGAAATGCACATTCTGTCGGGTTTCCTGAGTAGTACAAGGAAAATGAAATTATTTTCTAAGAGGCTATAAAATGTGCACTGCTTCTAAGAGAGAGAAGATTTTTTTGTCCCTTGGGCTAATGTTGTATTAACCACTTTTTAAAAAATAAATGCATATTATTTACTTTAGGGAACATCAAGCTCTGCTCTATCTTCTCTCTCACCAATTTATATCAGGCAATTTTGGGGTTTGCTTTCTTTCTTCTTCAAAGTTGCAACAGTGTACCAAGCCAACCGAGCAGGTTTGCTGTGGATTTTATTACTGTAAAATGTCCTCTTAGCCCAATTTTCATGCTACTTATTATCCAGCCTGATGCAACGGAGACACAAAAGTCTCCCTTTGCTCACCAACTGTGTACAGATTGAGAAGATGGAAGGCAAATAACCACTGCCATCACCCAGGTGTCAGAGTTAATTTTCCAAGGGAGACAAAGTGGTGGTAACAAGCAAAGCCTGGATTCATGTTTTTGTGGAAGATTCCTTCCACAGCACGCAGACAGAGAGAAAACTGAGATGAAAGTTGTGGCTATGGTGCCTAGGCATTTTGTTGCCTCATGAAAACAAAAGAAAGGATGATAGAGAGAACCACTTTTTCTAAACATGCCATCTGTTTTGACCTAAAAGCAAAGCTGAGGGAAATGCATAACTTCCAGTGTTCAAAGTGATGAGATGTCTATGAAGGAAAGATCTGTGCTTATTACTTCTTTCCAATGCATCTTAGAAAAGGGTTGCTGCCTTCAAGCCCTGCATATGCTGTGCCTGATAGAGAATAAGGCTGTCAATGGCTACTAGTCTTGATGATTATCTGTTACCTCAAGTATCTGTATAACATTTTCTGGGGAACGTCTGAAGGAGGGAGTTCTTGCGCTCTTGTGCTGCTTGTGGGCTTCCCATCGGCAACTTTCTAGCCATTGAGCGAGACAACAGCAAACTAGATAGGGCTTTGATCTGATCCAGTAGGGCTCTTCTGATATTCTTAAGAGGCACCCCAGAGGTATGTGCCCAACTGATGTAAACATAATGCTGGACTAGACGGACCCTTGATCTGATCCAGCAGAGCACTTCTGAAGTTCTTGTGTTCATAATCTGCAGACAGTGCCAAGCAGAGAGAGAGAAAGGTCATTGAAAAAGATAAATTGTATGGTTTGCTTAATGTTCTTCCTCTAGTGTTATTGCTCATTCAGGTCTAATGCTGGCATTGATGTTTTCATTCTCTTTCTTTTGGACCATACCGTCTAAACATACATATATATCCTTCAACATTCACAGAGGAAAACTGTAACACATGTGATCAAGGGCTTGTACTGTATTTTGAAAGGCAATTCAACAATCTAGCAATTTAAAACCATTGTGAATTAAAATAATTTAAAATTCAGAAAAGACAGGCTATAAAAAGAACAAAACAATACAATCCTCAAAAGCACATTGAATGGGCAAGTTTTCATTTGTCAGTGGAAGGAGAGCAAGGAAAGGGAGCCCATACTAGTTTCCCATGAAGGGAGTTCCAAAATGTGGTAGGAGCAATCAATCAGGCCTCTCTCATTCTTTATACCCCCAAACATGCCTGCAGAGGCAGTAGGACTGGGAAAAGAGCCTCCCTTAAGCCTCTTAGAGCTGGGGCAGGCTCATAGGATTCCTGTCATTCAAGACCAAACAGCATCAATGACAGAGGAATTTCTGCTGGGAAAGGGATACTAATTAGTCCCTGATTTGGCTTGTGAGCATTCAAGAAGCTTTTATGAAGATCTAACTGAAAGGTCAAGAATCCCTTCTCTAGCCAATACTGGTGGTATGTAGATAAACTCAACTGACATTTCCGAGCTTTGGGACTCAGGCCTGTCATTAGGAAGAATGAAATCCCTTTCCCAGGAAGCAGATTTTGAATTTCATAAAAAGGTGACAAATCATTAGTGATTTACTTTGTTGTATTTTTGCCCTTTTAATGCCAGGGAGAGAAAGAGGTCCTTGTGGATTTTTTTGTACCAGGTGGCAAAAGAACTTGGCTAGCTTGGGTGTTTGCAATTGAAGTGTGTGGGGTGCATTTTTGGCTGGTCTTCCTGAGGCACAGAATGTTTTGGGCTGCTCTTAAGCTCACACTGCAGTCTTAGCATCTGAGAAGAAGATGCTAAGCTGATTGGAGAAGGCCATGCTGGCTTCCACCACTACTTCCCCAAAAATACATAATGGGAGGAAGGCGTAGTGAGACTTTCACCGGTAGCTATACAACCCAGTCTCTGAATAAACAAAATGAAATGGGTTTTCCTTGTTTCTTATTGGACGCAATGGTAGGGCAATCACTGATATGTGTTGACAAGGCTATTTCCCCATGTGGCTCCAACCGTTGGACTCTGCCTGTCTGCACTGTTAACTGTTCACAGCTTTGTGGCTGCTGTTTAACAAATCCCTTGCCTGATCCACTTCCATCTTTTGTCTCTCTTAACTTCATTATGTATCTGAACAAAGAGATGAAAAGAAGCTGTAGGAAGAAAACTCTGTTTTGTGACTCTTCCGACTTGTGCTGGTCTCTGGATGCTGGCTGCCAGCCCCTCTCAATGTAACCGAGGAGAAACAAGCTGACCGGATCACTAGGGACCCTATTTGCGGTTGCCTAGTCATTAGCTATCACTCTCACTTATGAAGCTTGCCAAACAATGACAAAAGCCCGACACTGGGGGAATTCGAGTGAGGACATCATTTGCAGTGGGTTAGGGAACCTTCCTTCTGTTCTTTCTTCCTTACTTTCATTCCTTCTTCACAAATGATTTTCTTTATTCATATGTCTTTTGCTTTGTATTGTTTGGAGTGGGAACAAAAAGTAGCAGGGGAAGCCGCATAAAATTAAGGTTCAACATACCCAGGCCTCAAGGCTCCCAGAAAAACTGTCTTGAGATGAACAATTCTGCCTTTGGCTTCAAGAGGATAAAAGCAATAGCAACTCTTTAGACACAAAATGGGGAAACAAAATGAGCAGGCCAGATTGGGAGCTTCTGAGACAGGATATCTATTCTGGGTTTTAGTCTGAACTTTAAATGAGCTATTAAAGGTTTTCAGCCTACTTTCTAGGATTCAACACTCCAATTATTTATTTGAAATCCAGACAAAAGCCTAGATTTGGGCTATACCTCACTGACAAAGGGTACATAGAAATTGCAGAATTAATGAAGTTTGACCTTTAGTGTGCCCCTGAGTGGCCACCAGATATGGCTGGAGATCAGACTGGGCCAATATATCTTTGTGACCTGCCAGTAAAATCTTCTCTAGCTGAGGGGTGGATATGGTTCAGACAGCTGTGTTATGTCTCTTCCATAGTAAATAATCACAGTGCTGTAGTTCCACTTTAACTGCCATAGTTCCATCCTATGGAATCCTGAAATATGGTTTAGGAAGGGTTTTCTATAATAATTCAACAAGGGAGCTCCTCTATTGCCTCTGACCACACTACAAGGACTCCAAGGATGTGGCTATGGCAGGAGAAGCAGTATCAAACTGACATCACTATCTAGTATGAAAGAGACCTAGAACTATTGTAATAAAAGCAACAAACAATTTTGTAGCATCTTAAGGACTAACTTATTTTATTTTCAGTAGTTCTGTCCATCACAGAAAAATTAACCTCCATACTCCATGTATGAGATGAAGAGCTCATGCCAAATAAATCTTGTTGGTCTTTAAGATGCCATATATTTTATTTGTCATATGTTTCAGCCACGTCATTAGATGTAGCTGCAAATGTCTTGCAGGACATGAAAGCATATGCCAAATAAAATGTTTTATTCCATGTATGCACTGTATCTGTAGATGCACAGAGGAGATACAAGACTTCCAAGACTCAGTGGTGCCTGGTGGCTCCCAAGTCCTTATGGCAGTGAATCCACTCCAAGTATTCATTTGAACTTTAAATGCATTGTCCAAGGTGCTGAACCCTATTTGGTATGCTACACTTCAGATCCTTTAAAATCTGGATTAAAATCCTGGATGGAGTCACTGTGTCTCTGACATGGAAGCTACCAGCCTTTTCTCTTTTCTGATCCATAACTATCCAGATGTGTTGTGAATTCAGCAAAAATCACAACTGGAAACATTTAGAGCACAACCCTTCTGTCTGAGCAAGATGAAAGAAGGTACTCCAGTTACAATGGTATAACATTGGTTCTCAACCTGTGAGTCCCCAGATGTTTTGGCCTTCAACACCCAGAAATCCTAACAGTTGGTAAACTAGCTGGGGTTTCTGGGAGTTGTAGGCCAAAACTCCTGGGGACCCACAGGTTGAGAACCACTGAGCATAGAGAACAAGTACTTATCATTGAAAGCCAATATACAATATAGAATAATACAAACATGAATACATTTTATAAAGTTACAAAGCAGAATAATTCCAAACACTATAACTAAACTCTCAAAATGTATGCAGTATAATGCCCATATCCTTGGATTTGCTATCCACAGTTTCACTCACCCATGCTTCCAAAAATATTTTTTTCTTTCCTCCTGGAAGTGTTTGTGGACCTCTCTAGATCCTCCAGTGTGGTTTTGTGGCATGCTTCTGGGTCAAGTAAGTATAGTGAAATTATAAAGTTTTCTATTATCCATTGTTTCAGATATCCATGGGTGTGTGTGTCTTAGGACAACATCCCTGCAGATATAAGAATTGAATGCATATGAGAAGGACAATTTAACCCAAAGAACACAGACCAATTACAGCCTTTGTGCAATGGAATATTGCTTAATCTCATACCATAGAGCATATTCTTGTCTCTTGATCTCATACAGTATTATCAAAAGCACTTTTTGTTTGATTGTTTGGATTTCCATCCCACCTCCATCCCCACTCCCCTCTGTTTTCTTGTTGATATTTAGTTATCCATCAAGCAGTTTAAGGAAAATCACTAACATTAAGAAGAAAAATAGTCTATGCTGTTTTGCTTTTTCAAAGGATGATAGTTTAGTTTTATTTTTTAAAGGGAATGAAATTTGAACCAATGTAGTTTGTTCTGTGATAACAATTGGACTAAGTTGTGTTGGTGTTCAGTAGGTAGAAAATGAAGGTTAAACATTTTCTGAAACAAACAAGTTATCAAACATGCTAAAGTACAGTCTGCTTAGAATTGAGATTATTGTTTGTTTCTATACTTGTTTCTGTAGCTAGTTGATCAGAATTCCACATCATGCATCAGCCAAGTAATAATAAGGTAAGATTGAGATAAGATATTTCAGGTCAACCAGGGATACATTTCAAGCTTTCTGCTATCAATGGCCCATTGATTTCAATGAGAGACCGCATAAATTTTGCCCATTTGCCAGCTGTTCAGTTGATGCTGGATTGTTCTTTAACATATATTGAAATCATTATACTGTAACATAATCCAGCAGGATAGATGGCTTGGATAATGGATAGGCCATAACATCTTTCATCACTTGCTAGACTGTAATGCTGAATATTGTCATGATTGCTAATGTCCCAAATATGCTCCCATCTAGCATCTGCTTTTATATATTCATGTAAAACTATCTTGGTGGTCTCCATCTTAGGCCCATCATATGGATGCCTGTCTCATTTGAAATGATACCGTGAAGTGGAGGGCAATCCTTGATGACTGGCTTGTCACTGACACTATGGGATTGTGTCATTCCAATCTCTCAAAGAAAAGCTTTCTTCAAAAATAAAAAAGGAAAAATCATTCCTGTTTCTTTTTGTTATAACTACGTTTAAATTACTTATTATAAGCTGTAGTGTATCTTAGTATAAACTGTAGAATCTTTTGCCCATCTAATCAGACTAACGATGTATAGTTGTTGGGACAGAAGGGTTGTTGATGTGGTTTTGTCTTTTTACTATGTTTTAATATATTTTAACTGTTTTGAAGTTAACTGATTGTTTATTTAATGGTTTTTAAATTTCTGTTTGCTGGTAACTGCAATCAACTCAACTCAAACGTGGCGGCCCTATGAACAAAAGACCTTCAAGTCATCCTATCATCAGTCGCCCTGCTCAGGTCTTGCATACTCAGGGCTGTGGATTCCTTGATGGTTCTACCCATCTGGAATGCAGTTATTCTCTATTCTTACTGCCTTCTACCTTACCAAACATTATTGTATTTTAATGTGTCATGTATTCTCAGGATATGGCCAAAATATGACAGTCCAGGTTAAGTCATCTTGGCTGCTAGGAATAGTTCAGGCTTGATTTAATCCAGGAACCTTTTACTGTCTTTTAGCAGTCCACCATATCTATTAGACCTATTCAACACCACATTTCAAGTGAGTTGCTTCTCCTCTTATCAGGTTTCTGTACTGTCCAGCTTTCACAACTATACATAGAATTTGGAAATACAATGGCATAGACAATCCTAAGTCCTGTACTCAATTACCTATCTTTACCCTTCAGGGTTTTGCCTAGTTCCTTTGTAGCTCCCCTTCCAAGACTTAGCCTTCTGATTTCTTGACTCCAGTCCCCATTCTGATTAATGGCTGGGCCAAAGGTATGGAAAATCTTGAATGATTTTAGTGTCTTAACTGCCTGCTTTAAAGTCATGTAAATTATGTGGTCATTTAAAAAAAATTCTTAAGTTTTAACTGTAAACCTTCCTTTGCATTTTCTTCAGTAATGGTTGCAAGTCTTCACAACTTTCTCCTAGTAGTATGGTATCATCTACATATCTTGATTTGTTGTTGTTCTTTCCTCTAATTTTCTGAGGCTAGTCCTTCCTTACATATCATATGTTTAGCATAAAAGGTAAACAGACTGGGTGAACAGCCTTGCCTGATTCCCTTGACAATTGAAAACTCTTCTGTCCCCATGTATTTTGTTCCAATGATACCAGCTTTTCATGAGTACAAGTTACACATCAAAACAATCATCTGTGCATAAGTGTTTTCAAATGAGACTTTTAATATGCATTGGTGATGCTTTGCTTACAATTTTACAAAGCCACCAGACTTTATCCACTAGAAAAGTCATATTTTCTCACTACTGTATCTTTTTTTTCTTATTGCAGAAAAATGAATCAAAACAAAATTATTAACAAAGGAAAGGCCACAAAGTAGCACTGTTTAATTCCAGGTGCAGAGAAGAAAACTCACACCATATAGTGTGAGGAATTATCTCTGGGAAAGATGGATTCTCTTTTTGAGATACCTCCTTTTTTCCTTCTGTTTCCAATTGCATAGCTATTTGGCTTGAACATGTAGCATTTTCCTCTAAATACCCTTTTGCTTCCTTTGCGCTTTGTGAATCCTTTGCCAAAAATGGAAAGTGCATACATTTTGGTCTGATGCCTCAGGCTCTTGATATTAGCATCACATTAATTAACTGGTTCCTAAAGTTGTTCAATGCCAGAAGGAAATGTGCTCAGTTAAGAAATTATGATAGGTAACAGATTAAACTTTGCCATTTGCTCTTTTAAAATGATCTTTTTCCATTATGAAACTGTAATGTAATGTAATTACAAAACCATATATAAAGAAAGGTTTGGAACTCTTTTTTGAGCTATGTGTATATGTATGGGTGGGGGTGGGGAAGCATTGAAATGTCATAAGATTTGCCAGGTGATTAGCTCTGACTTTATGTAGGACAGCCAAGAAAGCTGGTTTTATTACAGCATACAAAAAAATGAAGTGAAATGGCAATATTGAGTAATGGCCAGAGCTGACATTTCTCAGAATCTGGGCATACTGTTTGGGATATTCTGGAAATGGTAGTTTAGAAAAGGTACTTTTATGAGATCTCTTTAGAACACATCTTTGAGTCATGGATGGTCAGCAGTGCATGGGAATTCTCAGATCAATACAAGAGGGAGGGAGGAGACTAGGAAAATGAGACAAAAAATGATAAACTATAAAATTCCATGGGCAATCATTTGGGAGCCTCCATTTCAAATGGAAATGGTGTGCTGTTATTGTCATATTAATGTTCAAAATTGACATTTTCTCATGGAACATCTTGAATATAATGGTCCTGATGAAGAGTTATGGCCAGGCAGGATTCCAAATGAATTTCAGCAAACATTAAGCAGTCATTGAGCCTGGGACTATCTGGCTATCTGGCAAGTAGTAAAAGTGTGTGTGTTGGGGGTGGGGGGCACTTGCACACTTCCCTTGCTATACTGAATTCTTCTCACATTCATCTCATCACTTAGGGTTGAGAGAAAGGTGGACACGAAAGAGCTGTGCCCAATTGATTTGGATGCAGATGTGTAGAGGAGGAGGGGTTTCCTCACTGTGCTAACATGGAAACACACATACAGCCTTCGTACTGTACAGCCTTCAGTGTGCATGATCAATCTGAATGATATCATGCAGGGTGATACCTTGACCATCTATCACAGTGCTCAGGGTATGCTATTTAAATTACAAACATCAAGTACAAAAAATATATAAGGAAAATACTTGTACAAACTTTTCAAAACAATTATCTTGCCCTGCGATTCCTTCTTCTTGTCTGCAGACTGGAAAATAGGGATGAGCTCCCTGAGATCTGGGAAGTCTAAATTGACTTAGACCACCCTATTTGTTTTCTATCTGATTTGGACAACTTATGTCCCCCAAATCACCTGAAAATTCTCAACAGTCCCTAAAAACACATTGATCCATCTCCTTTCCCCAACTACAGCTCTTTAATCCCACCCCTCAAATTTGTTCAACTACATGCTAACTGAAATGGGAATTGGGAATGATGTAATGACACCTCTAGGTTACCACTGGTGCCAAAGTATGGGCAATGGGGTTCAAAATTGTCCTCTACCCCCCCCCCACCCCAGTCTGGTCTCTGAGGGCAATTAGTAAGCTCTTCTAGGTGCCTTTTTGGCTGAAGGGCATGATATAAATGCTCTAACTAACTAGTTAGCCAACTAACTGACTGGTAGCCCTTCAAAGTTTTGCAGTTGATTCCTGAAGGAATTAAAATGTTCTTTCCTGTGCTACAATAGTAACAAAATCTGGTCTTATGAAATCCTGCCCTAGACCAGCCATATCACATACCTATAAGTGTGGTTTTCTTTAAGATAGAAGAGAGACATGGAACTTGTTTCCAGATCTCAAATGCGCAATCTTTGATTTCTAAGTCACATTTGCTTTTCTTCTAAGAGATTCATCTAAGTTTTTTAAAGGAACATCGTTTCAGTGGTACAAAACATACAGCATATTAAGGCATGCTCTGTGCATTGTTTTCCCATAGGTAACCCTGAGTGAAGTTTCAAACACCAGAGATGAAAGACACGTTCACCTGTCTCCTATAAATACTGCAGTCTTTACTTTTGGCATTGCTCTTTATGCATATGAAAGGAATGCCTACAATCGACTTTCTTGTCTTCCTTTTTAGACTCAGGTGGTACAGGGGAAGCCCAAATATATTAATGTCTGATCAGAATCTGCTATCTTTTTATGTTTTATGAAGGATCCAGGCAACAGGAAACAAATGTTTGATTGAAAGCTAGATATGGAACTTACACAGGGGTTGCCAAATTTCCCTCAGTGGCAAAATTTGATTTGATTGTTTTTCAAAAGCAATAATAAAGAATAAATGAAACACAAAGGGCAATAAATTTACAAGGACCTTATTTTACATAATTTACTGTTTTCTACATTCCATAGTGAGATGGAGTATTTGGCTGCCTTTCCCAATTGAAATTGCTTTCT